TGGACAATTTGGAAGCCAAAGGGGCGTAGCCCAAGGGAAATATGAAAATAAAATGATATAATATTGCATTGTCATCCATTTGTGAGCTATGTTTCAAATTTCAAGTCTCTAGCTCATCGGGAAGTATAAAAATTTACAAGAAAGCGATTTAATAAAAACAAGCCCATGGGGCGTAGCCCAAGGGAAATGTGAAAATTAAATGATATAATATTTCATTTTCTTCCATTTGTGAGCTATGTTTCAAGTTTCAAGTCTCTAGCTCGTCGGGAAATTAGTATAAAATTGATTTCAAAATTTGTACCGGACAAGAAAGCAAGCTAATAAAAACGTTTTAATAATAAATATAGATATAGATTTAAACAAAATTAGGAACAACTATATTGGACAAAGCTATTAAAGAAACATTTTCGTACAAACAGTTTTTATCAGGACAAATGTCTTAAATTAGGTGCTTACCAAACGATATTATTACTTTTAAAACAGGTTAACATGGCTAAAGTGTCTGGCTAATGTTAGTTCTACAAAGAAACTACATCACCAGTTTTCTTTAATTTGTAGGATTTTCTCACTGAAATCTCAATAACAAAGGAATACAAAATCAAGATGAAAAATTACTGTCGTACTTACTTGTGTATTAAAAACAAGATTTCATTACCTTAGGGTTGAATATAAAGACTATATAAAGTACGACAAAATGCGTCAAGCCACATATCGTCTACAAGGCTTCTTTATTGTCTTCTTTAAGGTTTTTTAATGGGTTAAATTACTATTTAGATTTAATGATCACTGGTTGTGCCAATAACTAGTATACATGTGTTTTTTTTTATTATTTGTCACACTTGATATGTGTCTGGGATTGTCGTTGGTGGGTCCAAAGGTCTTGTTCATCACAACTAATGTAGTACATATGTTTCCGAGTTAGGTATTTATTGCAACAAACGTGACCATGGGAACCTATATAGATTTATATATCAATACAAACTAGATTTTTAGCTGAAAATAATGGTGCAAAGATTTCCGCGCTCTCAAATATTATCGGAGTTACGGCTGTTTTAAGTTTTATTTACCGGTACTTTGTTTCTTTGACCTAACCTATTTATAAGCCTATGAAATGTTCTCTCCAGATACTTAATCATTTACGTTAATTGTAAGTAATTAAAGTAGAAGACTCACTTTTTACCAGGAAATAACAGTGCAAAAATGTCTCCGAGGCCACGAATATTAACTAAGGTAACTTAAGATAATTTGTCGTTTTGATTTCCTTTATCTACCTTCTATTCTAGTCTGCTACTGCTTGCCGCATTACGGAATTACGGAACGGACTAACTGTTACTTGTACAACTATGAACTATACTGAACCTAAAATGAAAATGAAAATGAAAATACGAAATTGAAGAGAAGAGAATAAAGATAAGTCGATTAAGTCATTTATATTACATGTGCTACAAACATCTAAGAAACAACACGGCATTGAATAACTTATTTCAGAATGATTTTATTTAGGCATGTGTGGAAGGCAACTGTCTGTGTGTAATATAAATTATCAACTCAGTTCATTATAACCTACACTTTAACTTACCTAATCTAACCTACCTTCAAAGGACTTAATGCAGTACCGAATCCGCATTAAGTCCGACTTGCCTTCCACACATGCCTTTTCTGTCATCATACTTATATTTTATGCTACAGCAAGTTTGGTTTGGTTAGGTTAGTTTAGAATAGTTTAATTTTAATAATAATATGTATTCATAGACTAATCAACGTGTTATTTAAGCCAATAACACAATCACTCATCCCCTGGTTATATTACCAAATGTAAAGCACAGTTCATTACTAATATATTTAATAATACTTTACTGTAGTACTCTCTTATAATATTTAACAAAGTGTTATGACACTAGCGCTCAAGTGTCACCAACATGAACTAGTCATGGAAAAAACTTCAGATTTTAGAATGGAATGAGAAGTCTAACATTGTTAGTTGTTAGTTATTAGTTGTTAGTTGTTAGTTGTTAGGCTTTAAAAGTATGCATAGGTAAAAATCCTTATTCTAGGTATAAGGATTCAAAAGGGCATAAAAGCTACATGGTTAAAGTAACAATGTTGGCCTATTTTGTGGAGTGGATTGGATTACTGGAACTTGGAACTTGGAACTGGATTTTGTCAAATCCATCATGGCATCATGCCGCCGCCAGTCGCCACTAACCATTTCACTTAGCTGAGTACAGATTAGCTATCTTGTTTCCCGAACGTTCTTTATGCTGAAATTAATAAGTTTGCGTTAATTAACCTATTGATTGTTAGTGTGAGTCTAATATTTACTTAAAATCACCTACAATTTACATAAATTTAATTGTTATACAAAGTTTCTGGTGAGGAAATATCGTCAATTAAAATAGGCTAGTCAGTAGACTTACAAAGGTAAATAAAACTTAAACAGCCGTAACTCCGTTAATATTTGTGAGCGCGGAAACATTTTAGCACCGTTATTTTCAGCAAAAAATCTAGTTTCTGGTGATATAAAAATCTATATAGGTTCCCATGGTCACGTTCGTCACAGTAATTACCCAGAGTTAATTGTTCTTTTATTGTAAACATTATAAATAGCATTTTTCGTACCTAGGGCCGAAAAGAGGTTTTGCCGGCTCGAGATAGTTTTTAAGTTCGAGACGAAGTCGAGAACTTAAATCGATCGAGAGCTGCAAAACCATTTCGGTCCGTGGTACGAACGCTATTTTTCACCACACTATACCCTGTTACCACTATACACCACTATTATAATCCACACTCACAGTCAACACAACTACAACTTTATGGTTATGTGGAGAAATAATTTGAGGAATCAGCAAAAATAAAAATAAATAGTTGCTAGGCAACGGTGACAATAACACAATTCTATTGCAATGCTATGGATTTTGATTGTGTATTTAAAGTGCATTCATTTTTTAAGTAAGTAAGCGGACAGCTCATTTTGCGGCCCCGGGCTGTAAAAACCTGCTCGGTCCCCAAATTACGATGACAGCTGGCATGGCCAGTAAAACGTAACTTTCAGCCACCAATTAACCGTATGTAATACAGCCAAAAACATCATAGTGTGGTGAAAAATAAATTACATGATCTTCGAATACATTGCACGTGTTTTTCTTAACTTACTGACTCCAAACAAGGCATATGTGCAAATTTTTTTTAATGAAAGCAACTTTATATGAACAAATAAACAATACATTTTTACAACAATTATTTTACATTAGTGTCATTTGTTCAGATTATTGCACGTAGAAGCATCCTAGTTCTTTGGGGGTTTAAGTGGGATATTATGGGGTAAAAATTGGTTTTACTAATTTTTGACCCCCAAAACACAACATTTCCCGATTTTCCTGTAAACCTTTGTAATTTAATAAGCCTAACAACGTGTTTTTGTACCGTTGTTGGTAATGGAGAAAATTCAAATATTTTATTTTAAAATTCCCATGTTATTCTTATGGTGAATATTGTAAAATGTTGTAGTTTGCTTGTTTTTATAGGCTATAAATTTTGATCAAACTTGGCAAATTTATTATTTCATCTACACACTTCCAACAGAATAAGAATCTGATTGTATTGTTTAAATGCAAATTTATACTAAGCTATTAATATTTTACTAATAAACACTCTTATTAGTTTCCTTGTAGCAGCAAACCTAGATACTCGTTAAACCTAATGTTATTTAAATTTAATTGAATATCAATTCAGACAAATGGAAATTTGCTTAGTCGGCAGGTTTGCTGCGGCGGGGGTATTTGGATTTAGCGTAAAGAATACAGTAAGTAGACACATTATATTGCAATTTTTATTAGGGTGGCTTGTGTTGAACTTTTGCCATCAAATATAGATCAGAATCAGAATCGATAAATTGAGGAAATTTCAGTGATTATAAAACTTTAAGTTTAATATATTTTTTACAGTCCAAATTATTTATTGGTCGCACGTGTTTTGTTAGCAACAGGAGGATAATTTTAGAATAAGTTGTTTTTTATGGATTAGAAACTTATTATCCTGGAAATTTTATAATTATAATGTAAATTATAATGTATTATAATGCAAAAACCCGTTTACTCTATGAATAAACATGTGCTGATTCCCAGATCAAAGTAACAAGTATTCAAACTTTAGGCATATTATAAATAGGATTTGTTTAAACCCCATGTTTATTAGGTAAGCACTTTTAGCGAATTTCCCTAAAGGGAAGTAGCTATTACCGTAGGTGGCACAGTAAGACCTAGACCCGGGACCGATTTACTTTTTCATTTTGATGTCCCCAGAGGCCAAAAACACCATTCGTTAAAATTTATATATATATATATATGTATATATAGACTTATATATTTATATATACGTCCGTGAACGTGATAACTTGAGTAATGTTTGTCCGATTTTAATGAAATTTGGTTTAAAGGTGTAAGGCGGGATAAACTTGAATGAGTTCGCGTACCAACACGATCGGACCATGAAAATGGGGCTTTACGGGGGGTTTTATGGGGTAAAAATTGGGTTTTCTCACTTTTGACCCTCAAACACACACAATTTCCCGATTTCTCTTTGGACCTTTTTAAAGAGCTTAAAAAACAAATAATTTAGTATATAAAAGTATTTTTGTTCGATTATTAGTAACGGAGAAAATTTAAAAAATTGTAAATTTAAAATTCCCATGTTATTCTTATGGAGAATATTGTCAAATGTTGTAGTTTGCTTGTTTATTGATATATTTTGATCAAACTTATCTACTAACTACTACTAAGCTATCAATATTTTACTCAAAAACACACTTTATTAGTTTCCTTATAGCAGCAAACCTAGGTACTCGATAAAACTAATGTTATTAAAATATATTTAACTGAAAGTCAATTCAGACAAATGGAAATTCGCTTAGTCGGCAGGTTTGCTGCGGCGGGGGTATTTTACTTAGCATTAGTGAATCACTTATTCAAATGCAGGGTGTAATAATAACCAATACAGTTTCTAAGTGGTTTTTACTAAGTGGTCATCGATTGACATGTTTTTGTTTCCAAAAGGTCAGACCAAAAGGTCTTTGGAATTGCAGACTGCTTCAAGTCTTTGGTATTCTCCATCTTTTACATGTTTTTTAACAATAGATTTATCAATATATTTTTTTTGGCTCTTGAAAGTAATAGAAGCATCATCACCCTCTCGGTTGAAGACTATTGTGTGGTACGCATCTTTGGAAGCTTCTTTTTTTTCACCTACAGGTAATCTGGAGAAGATCCCGTAGACTAGGAGAGTCAGGTTGGTGGGGGTCGATCCCTTCTTAAGATACAGTCGAGTGTCAGATGCGATGACATCACCATTGGTAAAGGAGGATAGCAAAGGATAAGTTTCGTGATCTGAGTAGGTGGCCAATGGGAGGTTAACCAGCCCCTGAAAAATTTACCTCTTACATTAATACGCAATTTACATCAGGAATTATATTTTAATAATATGTTGTTAGGCACTGGCACAAATTAAAGAGTCTCCTTTTAATCTGTGGCTGTAGCTAGAGCAGTTGTATACATTACTAATCAAAGTAAATTAACAGCTTCCAGACAAATATCATAGCGTTTAAGAAAATTATCAACAACCTTTGCAATAAAAAACAATGGGTCATGAGTTAAAATCACAGATAATGTTTATCTGGGAATCTGTAATAATACCATCCTTATTGATCAATAAAAATAAGTACTGTATTGTAATCTAGGCGAGTTTAAGTTGTGAAATGGGCGTTATAGTGCTAATTATCTAAGTAATATCAACTAAATAAACTAAATAAATGTTTCACCAACAAAATTAAATTTTTACTGATTGAAATTATAACTATCTTAAGATAACACGGATGATAACTCGTATTTTTATTTTGTATTAATCGTGTTTCAGTTTGTATTAATCAATTATCTTACGTAATATCCAAACACTTAAATGAATGCTAAATATAAACTGCCTTGAGTAATTTAACATGCATGTTTATAACTAATGTCTTGATAATGAGTGATTATTATTTTGATCTGCGAATACTAAAGTATTCTTGTATTTTCAAGTACACTTTAAATGCCATGTCTTTTCCATAAGTGTTCTGGTAATTCTCAAATTTGTGTGACTGCTTATGGTTTGGTTACAATAGTTTAAACTATATCTTACTTGTCCATTCTTGAGTACCAGTTGAGTATAGCGTTTGCCACCTGGCATCGACAACTTTTTCATTAAAAGCTGATACGACGGCTCTCCTGATTCTTTGTCTAGTTTACAGGAATACTCATCTACTGCTATGGCTTGTTCCATGACTTCAATTCTCTTGGTTACTGAAAACCCCATATTTGAAATACAAACTAAAAATTATATTTAGGTTTCAACTTGATTTTATTAAATTACTTTGATTGTATTCTGCCAAGTGTTTGACAGGACATATATAGTGTAGTTATTAATTCAAGATTAAAATGAAAACACTATTCAAAGTTTTAAAAAGGGTAAACTTAATTTCTGTCACTCAGAATAAAGTATTTGGCTTTATTAGGGAGCAGAAGAGAGTCAATTATCAAATCAAATCAAATTATCATTATTGTGCACAGAAAATCTGTATACATAGTCTCTCGGAACTCTCTACCAATATTTTACAGTAGTTCCTGGGTGAGAAACATATATAAATATCATGCTATCAAATCATCCGGAAGTCCTTAGTTACTCACACAGCCGCCATTTGGTTACCACAGTGACCGCTGGAGGTTAATTTCGGTGCATGCCAAGGGATGCGGTCATGTATCACTAAAGCTGCCACATAATTAGTTAATATTCGCCAATCTTAATTAAGTCCAATCCAATAAAATAAGTTGTCAATGGATTTTTTCATCAAATCGCCTTAAAAAAGTGACCCGTGTAAAATAAACGGGTTTTGAGTCATTTAAGAAAAGAAGATTGTAAATAGCTGCCATTTTGTTTGATGAATTTGGAAAATTGTTACAGTGTTTCTTCTAGCTTTGTCTAGTTATCATAAACGTTCGTGCAAAGTTTCATTTTCGTATGTTTAACAACTTTTCAGAAAAAGTAAGATTAAGTGAATAAAAAAAAATGGCGGCTGTTTGAGTAACTAAGGACTTTCGGACTATTTAAATATGATATTTAGGAACCCTATAATATTGGTAGAGAGGTCCGGGACACCCTGTATAGCGACTAAAAAAACGTTCATTGTTTAATATAACTTATTTACATTGTTTAATATAAATAAAACAGGAGAATACAAATAAAACTAAACCCAAAAATACTAAAATTAACAGAACAGTACGCCTTTTTGTTCGGCAACCTAAAAACAATCGTTGTTAGAGTAAGGAGCTCGTTTAACTAGTAGGCGTTGCATTGCTCTCCCAAATTTGTCGTTGTCTCTTTCCACTTCAAGGGATTCAGGCAGCACGGCAAAGAACCTGATACTATTGTAAAAGAGGTGTTTTTCAAAACATTTTGTCCTGTGCTTAGGTAGCTCAATATTGTTTCTGTGCTCGAGAGTGTATTGCATTGGATGATGTTGTTTTAAAAAGATGATAGTTTCTTTTTTTAAAACGACTGACAACTGAGAAGGCATATGGATGGAAACGTAAAAATATTTTGTTCCTTAAAGAGATACTACATTAGTACATACCAATTTTCATAAAGATCGGTTATAAATTGCCAAAGAAAAAAATGTTTTTCAAAAAATACAAAATAGCATCCGGTTAACAAAGCGATTTTGGGAACAATTTTATCCTTGATTTTTGCATTATTTTGACCCATAGAACCATTTTCTGGAGTATTACTGTTTACTTACGGGACACTCTGTATACAGTATATGATGTATACTTATTAATTTAAGTGAAAAATGTAAACTGGTAATACAGAAAGATGTTTTATGAAGCGCGCTTCTAAAAGAGTCATCAGATTTTAAAACATTTTATTGACTTTAATGTTAAACAAATACGGATATAAAATATATCATTAGAAAGGAGAACTCTAAAATTGTTCATAGATACCCCTACAAGTGCTCAATGTGGTGTCCATTAGCCGTGGAGCAAGTTTCCAATCTATGTTGTATAATTGTCCCATACACCGGCTAGCACCGCAAGGTTGATTGATACTACGGGTATGCGAATTCGTCCACGGAGCTCTTGAAGCGTTTGTTGGCGGTACATAACATTTGTCTTTTACAAAGCCCCAAAGAAAAAATCACACACCGTTAGATCAGGAGATCTAAGGGACCATTTGAGAAGGTTCAAGTCATTATCGTCAACATGTTTTTTTTCTTGAATCGTAATCATTTTGAAAATGATTCAAACACGTCCAATTAAAACCCAAGACAGACCATTAAACAGCTGATTATAAAGCTTGGAAACATAAGTTTTAAGCACATGTTTCAAAAATGAATTTGGGACAAGAATTGGGTGAGGTACATGCCATTAAAACCTGATAATTCTTTTATAAACGCCCTGTATTATGAGTGTACTGGTGATTTGTATATTCATCTTTTTCTTGTCCTTAGAACTGTAAAGTAAAAGTCCATTCAGCAGGCGCATCGTACGATAAAGTTTCTTTCCATGCGTTGCGAAATGCTAAAATTTCCCTTCCTCTTCAACCCAAGTTAAACCACAACTGAACCTCTGATTGTAAAAATTCATAAATATATATTTTACGCATCAAACCTTTGGCCACATCTTTGCCACAGACAAAACCTCTCTAACCAAAAAATAAAAACATTCTTGCATGCTATCTTTTTCATGTTACAAATCACGATTTAAAACTATTTTACCATACATATCAATTTTTATTAATTGGATCGGTAATTAGATTGAAGTTCCAACAAAACAGTCATCAAGTACGACTAACCACGAAGATCTGTGCCAATTTGAAAAAGATAATGATACATTTTAAATATTATCTTCTAAATGTATATTTCCATATGAATTTATAGATGATATTGAAAAATCTAATTATGATAAAATAATAGGTAAAGCGCAATTTTACAGTTGTTGAACAAATTAATATATAAATTATGATGATTATAAATACTATTTAAAAGTTTGGAATAAACTAAAGGATAACAAATTAGGAAATTATTCTGATTTGGATAATATCCAGGGTTTTTTTTATTAGCTGATATCTTTGATCAGTTTGTGTAAAAAATTATCAGTTAGATTCTGCACATTATTTAACATCACCATCATTAGCATGGGACTTAATGTTGAAATTAACAAAATAGAATCTATATAATTAATACGCTACACGAAAGTTTGTCGGTTGAACTCCTCCGCCATTTCCTAACCGATTTTATCCATTGACGTCTCATTGGAAAGAGCGTGTCGCGTAGATTTGCAAACTGACCTTACATTTTTGAAAAAGACCCTTGGGCTCTGCCCCAGTGGCTTTGAAAGTTCCCATGTTATCCTTATGAAGAACATAATTGTTTACATTTTGATCAGCTGTATAATTTTATTGCTGTTATTTACTTTTCAATTCAATGAAACACATTGAGTACATTTATTTACTATTTGAGTTTGTGTAAACATAACCCCCAAGACGGATCGTGTTAGTATGGTTGTATCTTAAATTTGTGTATTTATCGTTGTTTTGTGTCGCTATGATGGATTGTGTTAGCATGATTGTAACTTAAGTTTGTGCATTTATCGTTGTTTTGTGTAGCTATAATTTGTTTATTATTTGTTGTTTATTCCTTATAAATGTCTCCGACGCAACGACAACGAAACATAGACAGGAGGTGCAATCGTGATAACGACCGCAGCTACAGAGTAGTGGCGCGTAATAGGCTTAACTCATCACAGTCTGAACCTGAACCTGGACAACTTCAACTATTTGCTTACAAATGCGCCATAACACTACCCCAAAACGACTTTTCGTTCTCAATTGGCCCTCTATTAATGACCTGTGTTGCCTGTACAGCGAGGCATTTTGAGAAGGAGAGAACCGTCCGGAATGCTTTAGGTTTATCAATAACGAAGATAAACAGGGTCTGAGTTACACAACGGTAATATTTGAGTTGACTCTTTTAAACTCATTGTAAATATGACTGTTATTCAATCTGAAATAACTCCTGTAATACTTTGTAATTGTTCGAATTCGAGCAACATGTACACTAGTTAGAATTAAAAAGTGATTATAATATGTATTTGATGATTGAAAAAGGTATTAGAGGTGGAATTTCACAATGTGTTACAAGATATTGTAAAGCAAATAATAAATATACAAAAGATTATGATAAAACAAAAACTGAAAACTATATGTTATATGTAGATGCAAATAATTTATATGGATGGGCTTTAAGTCAAAAACTACCATATAAAGATATTAAATGGATGAATCCTAATGTATATTCTTTAAGGAGTGGAAAGGAACTATATTAGAATTAGATTAAAATGCTGATTATGGTTACATATTAGATGTTGATTTAGAATGTTACAAACTGAATACAAAACTAAGAGCACAATCAAAATCTGATTTTGTAAAAGATTTCTTCATGTTGATGAATAATTATGTATACGGTAAAACAATGGAAAATGAGAGGAATAGATGTGACATAAAATTAGATTATTAATAATATTTATTGAAACAAGCTAAAACAAAACTTCAAAACATTTAGTATATTTGATAAAGATTTTCTAAATTTTTAATGTATGAATTTTACTATGACAAGCTAAAAATTATGGTCCAAATGCAAAATTATTATACATGGACACTGATAGTTATTTTGTATAATTGAAGAAAGGCCCTTATAAGATTACTAACGAAAATATAAATGAGTTTGATACAAGTGACTTTAAATAAACAAATACCCCCACCGCAGCAAACCTGCAGACTAAGTGAATTTCAACTTGTCTAATTACATTTTAACTAAAATATTTCTATAAATAAGCCATATTTTTCCCCAATTTAAATAACATTAGATTTGACAAATGCTTAGGTTTGCTGCTACGGGAAAGGTAAAAAGTGTGTTTTTTACCAAACGTCAATAGTATAGGATGAAATAAATAAATTTGCTAAATTTTATGAACATATATCCATTAACAAGTAAACTATAACAGTTTTAATGTGCTCAATAAGAATAACCTGGGAATTTTAAATTTACGCTTTTTTATTTTCTTTGTAACCATTAGGTATACAACAATGCTTCAATATACTATAGTTATTTGTGTAACTAGTTGTAAAAGTGGCACTTTGCTGCACACGAGAGCAATGTTTACGCACGAGCCGCAGGCGAGTGCGGAATGATCTCGAGTGCAGCAAAGGCCTTTTTCACTCGTGTTACACATTATATTTTTCCTACAGT